ACAGATCGGAAGCGACTCGATCGAAAGGGACTCGTCTGATCCCTGCTGGCTAAGGATGAATTTATAAACCCTAACTCCCAAAATACAAACAAGACGAGTATATACCTCTTCAAAGCTTCAAACAAGCCTAGTCGTTCGTCTCTGTTGCAGGATACCCAGATCCAATTGTTCTCGTCATTTGGGTTCGGCCCCTTGAACCAATTCAAAGAAATGTTAAATCAATTTTTAATTAAATATTTTTTTTAACTAAATCTATTTTTTATCTATTTTCCTCTCTTCCACCAAAAAGCATATTTTATAAAATTATTTTTGTTAGCCAAGTTTGAATTTTATAAATTCGTCAAAGATATTATAATTTTTGAATTTTGAATTAATTTTTTTGCATATTAATAACTTTCGATAAAATATATTATTATAAACGAATATGTTGGTGTTGGACATAGAAAATATTATAAAATATTTAATTGTAATAAAAAATATAAAATAATTTTAAGTATGTTTAAGATTAAATCTCAAAAATTCAAAAAAAAATAATAATCATTAAAAAATATAATAATTTTAATGTGAAAACTGTAACACCCAAGAATCCTTTTTTTTATATTATTATTATTTTATTGTATTTTACTTTATTTTAATTTATTCTATATAAATATAATTAAGTATTAATAAAATTTAATTTATTTTAAATGAAATAATAATAATACAAACAATAAAAAGGAGTAAAAATTACTTAGGGATCTAATTAAAAATAATTTTGATAAAAATGAGTGTAAATTTGGGTTTTATGAGTATTTTTGAAAGAAAATTTGAAAATCGGGGGTCAAAACGCAATTTAAAAAAATTGCACCACGTCAGCTGCCCGATCAGCAGCCCCGGCCAACCAGTATGCGCGGCGTGGCAGGGACGCTGACACGAGAGACTATACGGAAGGGAGCCACGTGGGCGATTTGCGTGCGCACGATCGAATGACTGAGATCCGTTCCTACGCGTACGGACGGCCCAGATTGCACGCGCAGGATGACCCAGATTGAATCGCACATGGACGGTTCAGATTGCATCGCGATATACGATCCATATTCATTTCTTATTTAATCGCGATCGGACGGTAAAGATTAAATTACGATGGACGACTCAGATTAAAAGCGGAAGGTTATAAATAATCTCATCCACACCCAAACCCTAACCCTAGCCGCCAGAGCCCCTCGTCGGAGAAGACAGCCCGCCGGCGGCTGCCACCCACTGGAGAGCCGACCGCCGCCACCCACCGCTGCACTGGAACAATTTTCGGCTGCCAAATGAGGTAAAAAATTCTCCCATTGGCTCAGAATTCGATTCTAAACCCACCTATGGCCAAATTGGAGAAAAAAATCAGCCAATTGACTGGAAAATGCCGCCGAAGCCCAGCGGCGCCGCAACAGGTTATCTTAATTTTTGCCTCCGATGAGGCCATTTCCGGTCCCGTTCGACGTAATTTTTTTACCATTGTAACTACCGTTTCCTCCTCTACAGGTTTACCGGAGCAAAACACTAAACCAGGACTCGAGCCGAAGGAGCCGCCGCACCGGAGAGCCCCGCCGCTGGTAAGTTTCGGTTTTCTGTATTTTTTCGGCCCACCGAGGGCATTGCGTGAGTTTTCTCGCAGGAACTGGTACAAGTTTGGCTGAATTCGGCCGGAAACGGCCAAAAACAGCCAACCCAAGGCGGATCGCTGTCGCCGGAGCATGGCGGAGCCGCCATGCCAGAATTCTGAAATTAGCCGAGTAGGCCTTGGATATGATTTTTGAGTTATTTGGGACGTGTGTAGGTACCGTAAGAGCGTCTCAATTCTCGAAAAAAAATTCAATAAATCTAGGGACTGTCCGTAGGTGCAGTGAAAATCATATTTTTGATTTCGAATCAGGTAAGGACCCCTCACCCTATTTTCTATCACGGGATTGAAGTCTGAATAAATGATAAAACTGTATTTTGTACAAATTAAGTAAATATGCATAATTAATTACAGTTGCTAATGGAGCCCGAATCGGACATATTTCTCTGTCAGTTTCTGTTTGATTTATTTTACAGTTTTAAATACATTGTGGTATTTGGTTTATTCATTTTATGATTTTGAATGCATGAATCACTATTTACTTCACTGCTGCTTAATTATATGAATCTAAGATATGCTTGCCTTGTTGGATGCACGTTGCTTGTTTAAGTATTCATATTTGAATGGGTAACAGAGATTAAGGATAAATAGGAATGGGATTGAATTGATAATTGGATAAGACGACAGCCTCACTAGATATCCTGGGAGATAGTAAACTGATCGGGTCCATAGGGAACCCTAACGGGAACGTTGTCTCATACCGAATGGGGTATGGAGACTTTAAATGTTTTGACGCTCATACCAGACGGGGTATGAGGACGACCCGCTTCACCCTTATACCGAACGAGGTATTAAGGTTTATTATTTTGGCGCCCATACCGGACAGGGTATAGGGATGGCCCTGGAATTAAGTTTGTTAAATTGAATAGTTCACGTGTAGCGGAGACCCCTATAGATCCTCATGGATACTAGTAGGCTGATAAAATAGGGCAATTGCTATTTGATGATTGAAATATAAAAGTATAACATGTGTTATGTTACAGAATATGTATGAATTCATGATATCTATGATGTTATTGTTTCTATAGATCGTTTTTATAACACTCACTGAGGTAAATAGTTTGATTATTGATAAATGAATTTGTTTAAAAATCGTACTTCATTGGTTGTTTTTGTTTTTTTCTACCAACCTTTACTTTTGTGACAGTGATATAGTGTGACGTTCTTACTGGACTAGTGTAGCTCATTCCTTACTTAACCATTTCATATCAGGAGAACTTGGTTCCCAAACCCATTCTGCAAGAAGACGGCGAGTAGATGCCTATATATCTTATAGTTTTCTTTATAGTCTTTCATTTCTAGTATTTCCTTTAGATGACTTATTCTTTGATATTATTAGTACGTTTTAAGTTATTGTGTTAGGGATATTAATCAGAACCCTTTTATTTCGCTTCCGCACTCAGATTTTTTTTTATATACATTTCCTTTTAAATTTTCGGGGTCGTTACAAAAACTCTTTGTATTAACATGAAAAGATCAATTAGTATTTAAGAAATAACATGATTAAATTTGGTAATAATTAAAGTAAAATTAAAAAATATAATTATAAAATTTCTTTCAATTAATTAAAAAATTATTATCAAGACAAACATTATATTTATTTCTCTCTCTTTATAGTGGTAGAATATTTGTACTTTAATTACACTAGTTTACCAACCAACAATAAAAGGATAAAGAACACGCTTAGATATTAAATAATTATACGTATAAATGATGTCGAAAAAATGAAAGGATAAAAAATATCTAAAAATACGAGACTAAAGAAATAAACTATTGTTTTATCAATGTCAAACACTAATTGTCTTTGTTATACATACATGAATCATTCGTAGATTTATTAAATCTTCCTGCAATCAAGTTAGTAAAACGAAATCAGTTGATAATGAAATTAAAATTTTAAAGTTTGAAAATGAAATATAAAATATAAATTGTGTATAAGGAAATAAAATTAGTACTTTATTCAATTTTTCAGTTTAAAATATATTAAACTCATTCAATTTCGGTCATTCTCACTTAATCAGTCGATTCGGTTAGTTAATAAGATTTAACAATTTTTTTTTTTGTTTTGAAATTTTTTTAACCAAATTGAGTAAAAGTAGTATTTTACTCAAATTTTCAATTTAAAATATATTCAGCTCAATTTTGTTTTTGGTTATTCTTATTTAAGCATATCAGTATTCAATCAGTTATTGAGTGCCAATTAGCTTTTTTTTGTTTACTTTTGAATTTTTTTTAACCAAACCAAGTGTTTCTACACCCTTATATAGAAGATATCCATTGGCACCCCATGAGCGTAGCTCAAGCAGAACGCTTAGGAAGCTCCTGACTCGGATTAGGAGAGCTATTAGAAGAATAAGCACAAAAAAAGCTCCTGACTCTGATAGATTTATATGTGCATTTTTTCAATCATGTTGGGATATTATAAAGATCATTTGATGAAAGTTTTTGAGGAATTTCACTTGAATGAGAGAATTTGTAGAAGTATGAAATCAATATTGATCATCCTAATATCCAAGAAAAACGTACCATAATGGATATTAGATTATTGGATTATTGTCCCTTACAACTAATGAAGCAGTGGGACATACGCATAGAACGAAAAAGGCTTGGTCCTCGAACTAGATTTTGATAAGGCATTTGACATGATGAAATGGGAGTTTTTGGACTTAGTTATGGTTCTAAAAAGGATTTGGATAGGATAGCAGGAGATGGGTATAAGGTTGTTTATTATAGTTTCGTTTGTAACTATAGCGAATAGTAAGCCTCTTGGTTGTCTCTGAGTACTTAAGGTATAAGATAAGAAAATCCTCTCTCCATCTTTTTTTAACCTTAGAAGATGATTTTAACCAAATGCTAAGCTGATGAGGAAGAAAAAATTTATGGTTAATAACTACTTTTTATGTAAGATGAATGTGGAATCATGTAACCACATTCTTCTATGTTGCCTGATGATGTATAACATCTAGTCTATAGTGTACGGTCTCCTAAGGATCAATTGGGTGATTGCGGGATTGGTGAGGGATGAGCTTTAGGCATGGGCAGGCTTATATATAAAAAAAAAAAAGCACATCTTCATTTAAGTTCTCTATTTCTTGGATTGTGATATGTGCTTAATCAATGATAATCTTATATAAACTTTAAAAATTGCATAGTTTCTATGTACATGAATGTGATATATCAAAAAACATAGTGTACGCTATTCATTATAGGTTCACCATAAAATTATGTTTTGTTGTGAAGGATCTGTAAAGAGTAATTAGTTGGGTAATGCAAATACAATAACAAAAGAAACAGAGAAGAGAAATAATTTGCTAAAAAGCATATCAATTTTTCTATTAGAGAATGTAAGCCAGATTAAGGATGTAGATGAGGCTGGCATGGGAGAAAGTAATGGAACAATGTTAAAGGTATGGTTTTCTGATAGCTGAATTGAAGAAGAAAATGTGATTGGTTTTGTAATTAGGGTGGGCCTAGAGAGAGATATGATTTTTTTGGAGCAACATTAACACTCTATTTTGATCGTAGTAAATGGTAATTAATTAATATATGGTATTCCACTAAAAAAATCATATTTGTTTTAACTTCCAATCAGATGAAATGGTAACAAACGGTATATGATTGACAAATTTGTGATAAATTTTAAAACCACCGAATCGGTGGTATGTGATCGGCATGTAATATTTTTTTTTCCCGTTATACCTTCATAAAATATATTTAATTCTAGTTATATCCTCAAATAAACCCCATATTTCTCTTCTCATTTCATCAAATTAACTCATGATATGCGATTATCTCAAACACATTTTAATTTTTTATTTATTAAAATAATTTTAGATTTAATATAATAATATTTAATTACAATCATTTATTTTTAATATATATTAAAATTAAATTAATGTAATAATATAAATAACAATTATTTATTTTATTAAATATAAAAGTTTAATTTGATTATGTGTAATAATTATTTATTTAAATACAAATTTAATTATATTCTTATATAATTTATTTATTTTTTTTATTATATACTTCTTATATATCATTTACTATTACATATATTAAATAGAGATAAATTAATAATTTGACTAAAAATATAAATATACTATTTTATCATTCAAACAAACAGTCGTCATTAACATACATTAATACACAATCGTCCAAATATTAAAAAAAAAAAATTCATTCCCATCATGTGTCATTGTCATCCAATCACTGTCATTGTCATACATTAATTATTTATCACTAAAATTTATCAAAATAAGATGTAAATGTATTATTTGAGGGAAAAAAAAAGGTGTGCCAACTCTAGATGAGAGGACAAAATAATGAAACAATGAGTTTGGTTTTGTTGTTGACATTAATTTCACATTTCCAAAGCATGTGGGAGTATTTTATGGTGAATTACACCGAATATTAAGCGTCAGTTCTATCTTCAAGTAATTAAAAGGCATAGGATCTAAAAATCGTAATTGAAAATATCAGTTCAATGTTATTTAAAAAAAAAATATTAGTTCAAATTTAAGAAATATGTTAAAGTACATGATTTTCTATGTAATAGATATATCTTAATTAATTTCGTTATTTTCGTCAAAACTCCATTTCTTACTTTATAGTAAACTTATCTTATAAAGTATCTGGCATTCTAGTAACTCACCTCCACCATAACAATTAATACCAAGAAAGTGAAAATTAGAGATTTCACAAAAGTCACCACATCAAACTCTTCTACAAAAAGTATTTCTTAAAACTAAGGATCATAACAATCGTGATGTTTTCAAAATTGTTTCTGGACATTTACATACAATCTTAAAAAATTAGCTTGCATATATATAAATATATATATTTTGATATATTTTTCTTAGTTGAGAGATGACCAAACAGACAAGCAGAAACATCTGTTACAGTATAAAAATATAATTCAATTTGTATGTGTCAAAGGATTGTTGCATTTATAGAAGAGAAACTGCAGCACCGAGCATAATATGATAATACACAATTTCATAATACAAAAAACAACAAAAATAGAGAATTTTATATGGGATGGCCAAAGATTATACTATCACAAATCATTGTTTACAGATAATTTAATGATATAAAAGATTTTCTAAGCAATATGATTGTATGTTTTTCCAACTTGAACAACCGTATGATACATAGAAGACAAGTTCCTAAACTTGTATCTTGAAATTTTTTCCTGAAGACAAGTATTTAGGACTTGCAGTATGAAGATTGTTCTTAATTACTTAGCCAGTTATAATGATAAGATGAAAAATTCTTTTTTTTGAAGGTTGAAAGATTTAGAGTTAGTCGCTAGGGAAGATTATATTCTCATACTGTTATTTATTCAATGTCAAATGTCAATTTTCTTGATTCTAACTTATAGAAACCCTTCTAAGATTTGTTGGATTTTCTCACAAACCGGTAAAAAACATAGATGAAAGCCATTGACCATGAACTATTTATTTTTCTTTTGTAAAAATATTCGTCGCTCTTATTGAAACCTTGAAATGAGAAGGGACCATGAAACAATCTCACGCATATCATAATTTAACTTGTTAAGTGCTACGTGGAATTGCACCGAAACATTCCATCGACGACAATAATAAAAAATATTTACAATATTGCCAACAGAAAATATGAACATCTAATGAAGAGGAATTGATTGAAATATTGGAAATATATTCAACTGTGCATTTTATTTTTCTTCTACAAACCAACAACAGGAACCAAAAGTTGGCTGAAGGCAATAATAATTAGATATCTTTTTTAATCTTTTAAAGCAAGAATCAGTTAATGTTACCTAACAAAAGCATGAGTATTTCAGTACTGAGACCCCCATTTCCCATCAATAAGCAGAAACTTTTACTTAATAGTTTTTACCAAAAAAAAAAAGATTTGTTTGCTTTATAGCATTGATGAGAATAAGAATTTAACCCACCCAACTCTCAACCCAATAATGGCAAGGGCATTTCATTAATCTAAATACAAACATAAGAAATTCGAGTACAAACATGGGAACCCCTTGATTGAAAAATAAATAGCACAAATGTTATTAGCTCCTCTCAGCAATGGAATTTAGTTAGAAGAGAAGTACTTCTACTTTTGCTAAAACTCTCGAAAATGCTGATAACTTCTCAATAATCTTATACTTCTTTCCATCATCACCTTCAGTACTATTCCAAAAAGTAGAGATGGTCAATTTTACCAAAGCTTTTGCATTATTAAGGAAAATTTTCGCCCGATAAAGATCAATCTCATGTCCAACATAATAATAAAATAGTAGAGCAAACTCATGGCGGAAATTCTTTAAATTATTGTAATAAAACTAAATTACATCTAAAGAGAAAAAGGGTAATACACAATTTTTTAAGTCATTAACAAAGCAAAATTTATGATCAATTACTTTTCTTCAATAAGATGTTGTGCAATGATATAAGCAGAGAAATTGACATGTTGTTCGTTAAAATCAATTAGATTTAGTTGATCAATTGAAAATTTAAAAATTAAACAATATCGAACATATAATTTATTTTTCAGGATGTTCAACTTTCATTAACCATCGACAATTAAGAATTAAAATTTTTCTTACAAATGTCTCCCCAATCAAAAGTTTTTCTTTTACAGACTCGGCCAACAATCAATTTTTCCTCCCATAGATCGAAGCAAATAAGAGAAGGAACAGAAGATATCGTTCTCCAAACTAGCAAAAGTCCTTCAATGATGAATACTTTAAATTCCAAAAGTTTTGCAATTACATTACTTTCCATCCAAAAGGATTAGTACAGAAAGACAAACAAGCTCCACATCTTTGTTTCTATAAAATATACATTTTTATATCTAACAGAGCATCCATCGGCTTTCATCAAGTAGCTAAACTATTATTGGCCTATTAAGTTAACACCATCCTTTTTCTTTATTTTCTTCAAATGGATCTCACAGCCTCACTTTTGTAAGTCTCCCAAGACTCAAGAGTTTGTCTGTCAATGTTAAACGCGAATCTTCTTCCTTCTCTAAACAGGAATCCTTACGAGAGATCTCTTAAGTTTTTCCTGCAAGCAGAGAAACAGTAAAATGAAATCAGTAAAGAATGAGGCATTTCTTTTTTCTTGTTTCTTTCATTTAGGAATCTCGAAACAACTAAAAAGGACTTTAAAACAATCTGATACTCGCCAAAATTGTACTTGTTAAAGGTTTCCCTTTGGGTAAAACATTTACTGCAGCTATGAGTTAAGCATTCTACAGGGGAGAAAAATAAAAGTCCCTAAAAATATAGCTAACATATGATTGTCCACTCCTCAGGAAAATGATACAAACATTAAAAATAAAGCCAACCAAGCATTGCATTTTCCAGTTTCACAAACCAATAGCAGGAACCAATAGAAAGCTCAAGGCAACAATAATTAGACTTTTTTTTTAGGCAACAGTAAGGTCATATTGCCGACAAAAGCATGAGCATTTCAGTACCAAGTCCCAAATTCCCAATGGACAACTTCCCAGCAATAAGCAGTAACGTTTACTTTATAGCATTGCCAAGAAAAAAATTTAACCCAACCACTTCTCAACCGAATATTGGCAATGGCATATCATTAAGTACAAACATGAGAACCTCTTGATTGTGTTAAAAATAAGTAGAAAAACGTCATTACCTCTTTTCAGCAACTAAAATTACGTTACAAGAGAAGTACTTCCACATTTGTTGAAGCTCTTGGAAGTGCCATTAACTTCTCAATAATCTCAGGCTTCTTTCCATCAATATCATTACAACAGGTAGAGATTGTCAGCTTAACTAATGATTTTGCATTCTCAAGGAAAACTTTCACCAGGTAAAGATCAATCTCATGTCCAACAAATTTGTCAACATAAATATATTCCAGAAGATTTGGCATCCCAATGGTCTCAAGGTTTTCAGCATTCCATTCCAAAGCGGACGCATGCGAAGGGTGCCCTTGTGCCTACACATATTAATATAGTTAAGAAAAGTACATAAATAATAATAATAGTAAGCTTCCATTTAGAATACTTAAGACTGTGCTGTCCCTAAACGAGAGTGGTTAATAAATATGCATTGAGTACAAAAAGAATTGAAGTTTATGAACTAACAAGCATGAGAAAGTGGGCGCTGTGGACATTCGGCATTCTACTGAGGAGGATTACAATCATCTGAATATGCTTCTTGGATGGCCAGACAGACATATAGACATTGCTCAGGTTGTGAAAAGTAATTGCATTTGCATATATCCATGGAGAACTCGCCTTGTAGAAGAGAAGCTGCAACACCAAAAAATATCATGAGGGTAGTCGTATTCTTTAAAAGGAACACTAAGAAGATCTTTATCCATTAATCAAGAGTTATTAACCAAAATAAAGGAAAATCAAATAAGTATAAGAAATCGACAGAACACATACCTCCAAGAACAAATTATCCACAGCTAGTACAGTAACACGACAGAGTTCATTAAGCAAATTAAAAGTAGTTTGACTGAGAACATCTATACTCGTTTGGCTTCTGTAAATGTCTCCAACTTGAATATCTGCATAATGAACAGATGGGCCACCCCTTATATGATAGATTTGTGCAAGATTTCCCCTCCATATAAGTGATATAAGACTAGGGGTATGAAGATTCATCTCAATTGTTTGGAGCCCACGACAATAGTCTATATGAAAATACTTGAGTCTGAGAGCAGAAACAGTTAGAACCTTTAGACGAAACATATCGCAATTTAATAAATGCACATATTCCAGCATCGGACACGATGAGAACAATTCCCTTGTCAGATCACCATCAATGAAAATGACACCCCCAAGTCGCAATTCTTTAAGACTAGGAAGATAAACGGATGTTGGCCGTTTGAGAATATAGAAGCCGACGACGAAAGTAAATCTTTTCAATGTTGTCGAGGAAAAGATACAGGGGCTAAACCCTTTTGGTTCAGCAACACGAGCTTCAATAACAAGATCTTCAACATTATGCTTCAAAGCAAAATCAATCCATTTCGTCTTTAATTTATAGCGTGCTATTTCACTCCATAATTTAAATTTGATGACTGGTATATCTGAGTCATCATGGTGCAAGAGTAACTGGTCTATGAATTCCACAAAATGATCAGGTCTACTTTCAGCATCAGTAAATTGTGAGGAATCAAATACAAGATTCTGAAGAGACTGATAAGTATATCTCCACTTTTTGGACAAAATGCATGTTCTAATTGCATCTTGTATGGGTAGCATACAGAGAATATGCTTGCAAAGATCTTCAGGTAAACTGCTTAGTCTGTCTTCACGTTCTTCCTTTGCACTTTCCTCCTGAAGAGATGAGTGCCTCATTTGCTTTCTTGACATTTGCTTAAGAAATGAAGCCCACTTTTCCTATGATTTAGACATGTCAAAAACCAAAACCTCATTAGCAGGATAAACTATTCCAGTGATATAATAACAAGAAATTTTCATATGACACTAAAGCTAAAGGATGAATCTTTCATGTCTCTAGTAAAAAATAAATGTGCAGCATGGAACAATAAAGTTGTAGCATTTGCAATATGAAATCCTTTTCTTTGAAATCAATACATTTATGGGTAAACAGGTGCTTGTTTGACCCTCTCTTCCAGATTCTCATAGGATTAGATAAAGAGAGAGGGAGACAGTAAAACATTAGAGACAAATAATGTTATGCTAGTAAGTTGATTCTTTTTTTTTTTTTTTTGAAATACAAGTATTATTATGCATATAAGTACCAAGGAGATACCACCCATATACAAAATAATTACATATCAATCAAGTGGTTCATGACTAAACCAATATCTTCCCAATCATTAATATTATGACCTAATAAAATAGAATCAAAAGTATGCATCCATCTATCCTTAATGTTTAGAAAGTTAGTTTCTATACCCTCAAAAGCTCTCACATTTCTTTCCTTCTAAATCACCCAAAAAATGGTAAGTGGAAGAAGAAACAAATCCCCTTTCTTTTTACAAAACCCTATCCATGCCAATAGTTTATTACTTACACTACCTGTCATGACCCAATTCAATCCCATAAGCTCGAACACTACCTGTCATGACCATAGTTTATTACTTACACTACCTGTCATGACCTAATTCAACCCCATAAGCCCGA